TGTAAATATCGCCGCACTGCTACTAGCGCGATCAAATAAACTGACGTTTCGCCTCCATATTTTGGGGGTTCTCCGAATAAGTCGAAGTTTCACAGCACCTGCTGTTGGTTGACGCAATTCGTTACAGCCAAAATCCATTTAAATAGCATCGATAAAGGAAATATTTCATATTGAACCCGTATGCGTAATTGTCGCTCTCTCTCTCTGTGAACCAGGGATACAAGGATTTGAATAAAAAAAATTTGACAAAACTATATCACGCCCTGATCTATCTACGCCCTGATCTATCAATGCCCTGATATATTCACGCTATGATCTATCCACGCCATGATCTATCCACGCCATGATCTATCCACGCCATGATCTATCCACGCTCTGATCTATCCTCGCCCTGATCTATCAACGCCCTGATCTATCTATGCCCTGATATATACACGCTAATGATCTATCCATGCCATGATCTACCCACGCCCTGATCTATCTACGCCCTGATCTGTCCACGTCATGATGTATCTATGCCCTGATCTATCCACGCCCTGATCTATGTACGCCCTGATCTGTCCGCGCCATGATCTATCTACGTCATGATCTATCTACGCCCTGATCTATCTACGCCCTGATCTGCACGTCATGATCTATCTACGCCCTGATCTATCAACGCTCTGATCTGCACGTCATGATCTATCTACGCCCTGATCTGTCCACGCCATGATCTATCCACGCCCTTATCTATCCACGCCCTGATCTATCTACGCCCTGATCTATCTACGCCCTGATCTGCCCATGCCCTGATCTGCCCACGCCCTCACAGCATGCGGAAGGGATACACGAATGAGCGATAGGTTACGGAGTCTGATTTTTTTGTTACAAAGTTACAACTGCTACAACACGAGGCTTGCTTTACGTGTAATGCTGTCACAAAGGTTTTTATCTTACCCGGATGGTACGCCCCTGTAAGTGATGTCACGATTTAAAGTGTGGACCGTGTGTGCTCGGCACTACTTTCTCGGGTCCCCGACGTCACCGCCGACAAGCTATTTAAATTTGCTATAAACCAGGGGTCTCCAAACTTTTCAACCCGGGGGCCGCATTAACTATCAAACAGCCTACACACGCGAGGTCCAAATAACAAAGAATCAAAACACGGATGTTGTTTCCAATGATTTATGTATTATTATTTCATTCAGTTATTGTTTAATAACACATTGATACACGACACATTAACACCTGTACTAGTATTAGTATGAATGGTGAACTTGTTTCCTGGATGCCAAAATAGCAGTGATCAGCAGACATTTCTGGATTTACATTTGATGTCCCTAACATCAACAGTGACCTGAGATGATCATCGGACAAATTTGTTCTCAAATTGTTCTTCACTTATTTCGTTATTGAAAATGTTTGTTCACACAGGTCTGTTGTTCCAAAGATTGAAAGGTACATTGATGCAAATGTTTTGAAATTAGGAAAGTCTTCCTTGGGCGAAAACTAGTTTTAAAAAAACACTGGTCCTTCTTTTAACTTGTCCCTAAGGAGGTCATTTGCTTGCAACTCAATGACCTCCGGGTGTAGTTCATCTGGGCGACTGGTCACATCTGCTTCAAGTGGGTTTGAAAAAGTCTCACTTCTTCTGCCTTTGAATCCAAGTCAGAAAACCGCTGCTCATATTTGATGATCTCGCATACAAATGACGTGGGGAACTCCGCTGTTGCTTCAGCCATGAAGTCCGTCCACTGCTGAAAGTGCTTCAAGTTGTTGGCCTATGTATTTGTTCCAAAAACCAAGACAAAATTGGATCTGAAGGCCTTTAGAAAGGTGTATAGATCAGAAACTAGATTTTACTCTCTCCTTGTAGTTTTAGGTTCAGAAAATTTAAATGACTACTTATGTCTGCAGCAAATACCAATTTCCATACCCACTCTTCATCAGACAGTAATGGCCGTGGATCGCCTTTACTTTCCAGGAAGTCACTTATTTCCTTTCTTAACTTTAATACTCTGCTCAGAACTTTCTCAAAGCTTGGCCATCTTATTGGTGTGTAATATGGTAAATCTTGCGATTCTGTGTCTGTATCTTTTAACATGTCTCTGAACTGTCTATGGTTGAGCCCATGTGACCAAATTAAATTAACCCTCTTTACCACACGATTCAGTACTCTGCTAATGTCCACATATTTTTCAGACAAAGCTCTCTGCTGAATGATACAGTGCAAGAACATTGGTTGCAGAATTTTGTTTCTCATTACACATGTGCTTCACTTGTCCACCCAAGCCTTTCTTTATGCAACTCATGCTCTTTCCTCCATCAACAGTCAGGCAACTGTGGTTAGTCCAGTCCAGGTTATAATCAGCAAATGTTTTTTTCAACTCATTGAATATATCCTCTCCTGTAACAGTGTCGTACATGCTATGTAGGGAAGCCAGCTCTTGTGTTATTTTCATGTCTTCATCCACACCTCTAACGAAAACAAGCAGTGGAGATGTGGAACAGCTGTCCAGCGATTCATCCATTGCAATTAAAAATTGGCGAAACTTGCTTGCAATTTTTCGCTGTTTGAGTCACAATGTTTTCACCCATGTCTGCAACACGGCGGGCAAAGCCCCGCCACTAGATGGCGTTATATCATGTCATTGACTGTGAACGGAAGTAGAAAAACTAAGCAGCGAATAAGGTGTTGCCAAGTCATGATCGGTTAGAAAACATAGCGCACTACTGCGCGCCTCTATTTTAATTTGATAAAAACATAACGTCCACGTAAGCGGCGTCTGATCTTGGCAGGATACACTTAAATTTCCGTATTTTTTTTTCCGTAGACAAAAAGGTCTCCGCGGGCCGCATGAGGGGGCCTCGCGGGCCGTTGTTTGGAGACCCCTGCTATAAACCAACACGTTTACGAATGGAAATTCGCTATTTAATAAAAAAAAAATTTTTAAATTGTTGTTGGAAATCTTCTTGCCTGAAAATTCCAGAGTAAAGTGATTGGTCAGTACATTTTTTTTTTTTTTTTGCGGATCAGGATGAAATTTCTCGAGTCCGGCAACGGTCCGCGGACCGGTGGTTTCAAGCGGACCTAGTTGTTTCAAGCGGACCCAGTGGTTTCAAGCGGAC